AAATTGGTCCTTTTATAATTTTTATTTTATATTATATAACAAATTTAGTTTTCTATACAAACAGCCTTTTCTTTTTTTCTACGTCTTGTTGTCTCAGAATCGTTAGAAGACAATGAAGATATTGATACATCTGAATCATATTTTTCATCATTATTTAAATCTTCAATTACATAATCAAGTTTATTCTTGACATAACCTTTGAATTGTATTTTTTTTCTTTTAGTTCTATGTAATCTATTTTCTAATTTTCTTCTTACTTCAGGATATATGATCGTATCAACATGTTTATCATTTTCAATTCTATGGTCTATTAATTCAAATTTGTCAATTTGTAAATTAAAATTATGGTTATAGTATCAAATTTCTTTGCCGTCTTCTAATGAATTATGATTCCTGATTATATAAGCAATTTGTTCGAGAGTAACATCGGAATTGAATTTGATATCAAATCAAAGATTGACAAAATCTTCATATGAGCCCTTATGAAAAATTCTTTTTACTAAACAACAAAGACACTCAAATGCACAAGGGCATACATCATTATTTCTAAACTTTTTGTACTCAATAATATAGTCAAATCGATTATAAATTGAAGAATATTTTCTTTTGTTTTCTATTTTAACAGTCTCATTTCCAAAATATGGGATATCTTCAAAATAGATATATTAATTTCGCAAAGATATATTTGACGTGAATATATTTACAAACGAACAAAAATTTAGATGCTCGCCTTTTTTCTGCACGGTATGTGGTTTGTTATCGATTAATGTTAACAAAGTCGAAAATTCCATGTTGTGACTATAAAAATTATTAAATACAAAAACTTTATTTTCATCATATCCCTCAAACCATTTTCTGTTATTTTGCGACTTGTGATATATATCAGGAAAAAGTATTTGTGTCAAGTAATCCTTTTCCGTTCTCAAGTTACCATAAATATAGATATTGCAAGAAGTAAAACACCTCTTGAATGATTTTTTTCGACTTTCCTTTTCCTTCTTGATCAAGTACTCTAAATCTTTTAAACTTCTTAACCAACTTCTTGGGAGCAAATTCTTTTTGTTCTTTAAAACATCTTCAACTGTCAAATCATTATCAACAATATGCTCAATTCTCTTGATATTCTCTAATCTTTTCTCATTAATTTTGTCAGAACCTTTTAATTCATTTGAAAGTGCTAAATAGCGATAGTTTCCAAAAACCCAAAATCTGTTTTCCTCACTTAATAATTCAGAGACTTTCCATCGTGCAAGTGAACATTTTTCGATACAATCCTTATTACACATATCGCAAATTTTTTCTTTCTCTTGGAAGTCACACCTACATTTTTTTTTGTGTTTAGGATCCTTGCATTAATTCCATTTCTTCTGGCTATAATCGTGGTTCTGGTCTGAATCTCCGTTCAAAAATTTGGAAAAATTTATCGCGTTATAACCAAATAATTTCTTTACACCAGTTATGGTTTGGCATTTATCAAATTGAAAATATGCCTGCTCATGAAATTTTCCTGATTTGGTAGCTTTGTATTATCCTAAAACATAAGTTAGACCAAATTTCTCCAATACAGCAAATTCTTCTTTTGTCTTTGGCAAAACGCGTTGACATTTTATATTTGATTCTTTACAATAAGAACATCTAATATCATTACATTAAT